CTGGAGCTCTAAGTGTTTAATGTGAGGCTTGTGTTATCTGGTACATAAAGATTCTGTGGCTCATCGCCTTGACTATTCTCTTGTAGTAGTCTCAGATCCTTTGCCGTTTTATTTTGCCTTCCTGGCAAAACTCCAGTGCTTGATTCTTGCATTTAGAGTTGGCTTTCTACTTTTTCTTTTCTTTATACCTTTTAAAAAAAAACTTTTTGAAAATTTTTATTAAAAAAAGAAAACAAAAACACAGACTTCTTTCACTTCATTGCATTTTCCAGATCTTTCTACCATTTCTGAACTTACACCTGTAATGCTGAGCTACGCTGGGGGAGGAAACCTGCAAGTAGACAAAAGCAAAGAAACAAACAAAAAAACCACTCCACATTCATGTCCCATTCTCTGTTTAATGTCGCCCAGGAATCCTGGTTCCCCTTGTGAGTCATCTCTCCCATTCCCCACAGCTATTTTAAAATCTACTCTCCTCATCCCTCTGCCACCCTTTATAGAAGTATTTTCCGAAGATAACCTTACTTTCTACTTCCTGCAGAAAAGAGAGACCATCAGAACAGAGTGTGCTCAAATTCTACCCACCAAATGCATCACTGGAATACAGCCCTTTCTCCTTTCTTCCTGTTACAAGGAAGGAAGTTTCCTCTTCCTGTCTAAGCATGGTGATCATATAATTTATCGTTGAAGCCTGGATACTTTTAAAAGTAAAAGAGGGACTCTATTAATAATTATTCCAGGATAACAGGTGTAAGCCAGAACGTCCTGGGAAAACTGGGACATGTGGTCACCCGCTGTTTAAAGTTCACTGCATCACTTGTCCCCTGAATACAACCCTTTTGCCTTCTCAAGCACCACCAATATTCCCTTGAATATTGATTGCCCCTCTCTTGGATGTTCAAAATTTCCTTCTCTCTGGTCTCCTTCTCATTAATATTTTAACATTTTTCATCTGTTAAAAAGAGAAATTCTGCAAAACAACACTACCTAGATGCCATATACACCTCCAGCTACTGCTCACTTTTTTGACTCTGCCCTTCTCTCTGCCAAATTTATCGAAAACTTTGTTTATACCCAACTGTCTCTCTCTATTTCCTATTCTTTATTTACAGAATTCTAGCTTCTTCCCTGATCCCCATTCTGACACTATGCTAGACAATGTCACGCATGGTTATCTTATCCTTTAATGGAACAGACAGTATTCAATGTTACTTGATTTCTTAGACACCTCTATCTGTGTAGTCTTGAGTCAATTATCCTCTCTATTCCTCAGTTTCCTAAAATAACACAGTGAGAAACCTTTGTCATAGACATTTAGTTCAGATTAAATAAAATAATCCACAGAAGGCATTTAGCATTTTAAAATGTTAGACATACTATTGCTTATCCTTTTAGAAAAACACCCATGTTTGACCATGCTTGAGTTAGAGTTCCATCAGTAATTTTGTACGTCACTGTCTGAACCTTGTAAGATAAGACAGAAATGTAGAATATCTTTGCATTGCCATTCCAGAGATCCACAGCCTGAGGATGGCAATCTAAAAAGATCCTGCTTCTGTGATGAAGGGCGTTTCTCTGTTTGGCACCTAAGACTTAGCGAACTCACTGTACCAAATCCATGGCCCAGCACGCATATCCTCATTGGAAGCTAGCAGTGGCGCACAAAGCCCTGTCTTTGTCTGGCATACTCACTTGCAGTAAGTGTAGCTCGGAATCCAGTGGCACTATGGAGTTCTCCTGATTTGCTCAAACTAAGTTCCAGAATTACTGACACAATATATAGCAAATGCTCATCTGCCCTGACTGATCTGACTGTGGCCCAGATTCATCTTCAGCCCTCACTATTGCCAGCCTGGTAGGTATTTGTAGGCACTTTGGGGATTCTTCCAGTTGCTTCTCAGTTTCTTTTTCACCTGTTCCGAGTTGTTGGCTGAACTGGTCCTTTCTTTAAATAGGTCATGTCGCATTATAACTTGTGGAAATGCCTCAACTATTTCTTTAAGTGGAAGCCAGCCTTTCAGATCTTCAAGAATCAAAACATTTGCTGTAATTTTTATGTTCTAATAGTAATAATTATAGTTAATGCCATTTAAAAATGCTTATTATATACCAGCGACTGTGCTAAGCATCTCACAAATTTTCATGTATATCAGCTATTTGTTATTTATTTAGTTTTAATCCTCACCCAAGGATATTTTTTTCATTGCTTTTTTGTCTTAGAGTAGAAGGGAGGGAGGGAGG